AACACAGTCCATCATGTTCAGATGTACAATTGGCCTTGCTTTAACCCAATCCTTGAGTTCACAATATGGAAGCTTTGAATGTGAATAATGAAGACTTTTTTGGTATTTCAGTGACTAACACCTTTTAGACAGGGTCCATGGTGATCAATTCATATTGATTTTGCTGACTAAATAATACTTGGGCAAAGTTCCAGTGGCATCTAAAAATAAGCTCTTTCACAGTCCTTATGTGTCTTAAATATCATTATAGTATTTATTTTGTTCAAATCTTTGCAGTCACCTCAAATTTCAAGAATTCATGTGTAAATCATTCTAAGTGATTCACTAAATTTGTGAACCTACTTCCTAATACCTTGTAAACCTATATTTCACATATCTACTGGGCTGCTTATAATCAATAGCTCTTTCTTCACTACTTCCCAACTTGTTCTAATTTGTTTCCTTTGGGAGAGGTAGATTTCAAGAGTTCCGGATTACATGTTTTTTTTTTTTTTTCATGCGACTTAGAGCTCCTCCTTGTTTATTAGCAGTTCTATTTCTTTCTCTAGCCCCATTTTCTCTTGAAGCAGCCATAAAAGTACCATCTGTTTTTCAGCATCATTTTATTTCTGCTTTCTCCTCCCTGCACTTTTCTCTTCTCTGAATGCTTTATGCGATAACAATTTGTTCCTGATTTATTATCCACCTGCTTTCATAGCCTCCTCCTTTCTGTTCCTCCTCCACCCCTATCCCACACTGGATGGAGTGGTATACCATAATTCTTAAGGACATAGCTTTGGAGTCAAGTAAGGGCCAGCTCAATCACTTACACATGTTGGGCCTTAGAGACTTGACCACTATGAGCCTCAATTTCTTCATTTATAATAAAGAGAAGGTTATAATACCATCTACTACATAGGGTGGCTTGAAGAATTAAATAAAATAATATGCATCAGGGTTTCTCAGCCTTGGCACTATTGACATATGGGGCTGAGTCATTCTTTGTTCTGGAGGCTGTCCTGGGCATTATAGGATGGTTAGCAGCAACCCTGGTCTCTACCACTAGATGCTTATAGCAACCCCTTTCCCAGCTATGACAATGTAAAACGTCTCTAGACATTGCTAAATGTCCCAGGAAGGCAAAATTTTCCCCATTTGGAATCATTGCAAGATACAAAACATGTAGCACAGTGCCTGGTACGCAATAGGCACTTGATCAATAATTGTGAGGGATGGATGGTCAGAAGAATGATTGAATATTCATTTTTAATACAAGTGTCTAATATAATTCTTGACAGTCAATTAACTACTTAATGCATAAATGGATAAACAAATGAACCTGAAGCCAGTGAGCTTCAAGGGCTGTCCATAGTTTCTACCTTATTCTAAAATGTGTTATCTTCACTAAAAACAAGCTTCTTATGTTTCAAAAAATATTTTAGACAATTAACTAACTGCACAACTTAAGCTACTCCCCCAATTTAATATATATGCCTATACTTTAAATAATAGGGAGATTTTAAAATAAACTCTAATGGATAATAGCTATAACAATTATGTTGCAGTAGAATTCCATGCTAAAAATTGAAGTGATCCTTCGATTAACTTGAGTATTTTAGGCTGATATCCCAGTGAATAAGCCATTGATGTGGTAAGAGAACAAAGCTCAGGCAACTTTTAAGTGTTTTTCAATCTCATTTATCTTATATAAATATTTATTGAGTGCCTACTATATTTCAGGCACCCGTTCTAGGTACTTAGGATACATTCATGAACAAAAAAATGATCCAACGCTGTGGAACCTCCATTCTATGAAATAGTGGATCACAAAAATAATAAATGCGCAAATAGAAATAAAAATAAAGATTACTTATAACTTGTAAAATACTAGCGTAGGAAATATTCTAAGTGGTACTGACAGCAAAATTCCAGTGGATGACTGTAACCCAACTAGAAACATTTTTGTGACTGCACTCACTGTTTGCCATTTGGTTGCTTATCTATGATTTCAGTTTACTGAATTCTAACTTTCTCGTCTGATCTGAATTACAATGAGGGTATTAAATCAAATCTGTGGTTACCTTTGCATATTTTGGAACTTCAAACATTTAGATTGTGATTCACCGTGTGCATAACTTTTTAAATTGTCTCAAATCAACAATCTTTCTCTTACTTTTCTAGGTTTTCTCTAATGAACTAACTTTATGGGATACTTTTTGTGCTGTAGTCTAATAAACTGATAGCTGAGTTTTTAAAAAAATGAATACAATATATGCTTTTTCTGCCTCACTTTTTTCATATGTAAAATGGGATCTGTGGGGTACTTAACACATAAAGTCATTATAAGGATTAAATAAGGTAATGTTGATTTAAAAAAAAAAAAAAAAACCTTAGAACTAAAGAAAATGCCAAGCACATAGTAAGTTTTAAGTGTAGTATTTTCTGCACTTCTACTAGCCATGTACTTATTTCTAGTATTTCCAGTATTTTAACACAGTAAATGAGGCAGTATATCTTTTTCTTTTCTTTCTACAATTGGGAGAAAGCAGAATTACAATGAAATAAAAGCAAAATGTATATCCAATAGGGCCATATAAGTAATGTCTCTTTGTAAACCACTAGTCTCAGGAGTAAATCCCTCCACATGATGAAAACCGAGATGTGTTTGCACATAACTCTTTTTATAAAGTTTTTTTAATTGCAAAGACATAGTCCTTATAAACTTCCAATGTATGGAAATTAATAATTTAGAAAGTGAAAAGCCCCTTTATGCATATATTCATTCCAACTCACTACCTTTAGAGATAATTAATAGTATTAATCAGTATATGGTCTCACTTTTTTTTTTCTTTGAGACGCAGTCTTGCTCTATCGCTAGGCTGGAGTGCAGTGGCATGATCTTGACTCACTACAACCTCCGCCTCCTGGGTTCAAGGGATTCTCATGCCTCAGCCTTCCGAGTAGCTGGGATTACAGGCACGTGCCACCACACCCAGCTAATTTTTGTATTTTTAGTAAAGACAGGGTTTCATCATGATGGCCAGGATGGTCTCGATCTCCTGACTTCATGATCCGCCCACCTCGGCCTCCCAAAGTGCTGGGATTACAGGTGTGAGCGACTGCGCCCAGCCTAGTCTCAAATTTTTTTCCTAGTCATACTAATATATGTTTCTATTAAAATAAAATCACATTGTACATACCGTTTTGCAACTGACCTTTATTCACTTAAAATATGTCTTTGGTGTCAGTGTCAACACATTTAGTTTCTTCTTGTTTCCAACAGCTGCCAAGAGTGGTTACTCTCTTTGGCTCTCTGGGTACTTACCCACAAAAGCACATGCATTTAGATCTGATGGGAGAAGTCCTTCAGAGCAGGCACCGGTGGCTTACACCTGTAATCTCAACTCTTTGGGAGGTGAAGGCTGGCAGATGATGTGAGCTCAGGAGTTTGAGACCAGCCTGGGCAACATGGCGAAACCCCATCTCTACAAAAAATACAAAAATTAGCCAGGTGTGTTGGTGCATGCCTGTAGTCCTAGCTCCTTGGGAGACTGAGGTGGGACACAGAGGTTGCAGTGAGCGGAGCTCATTCCACTGCACTCCAGCCTGGGTGACAGAGTGAGACCCTGTCAAAGGATAGGAAGAAGGAAGGAAGCAAAGAGGGAAGGAAGGAAGGAAAGAAGGAAGGAAGCAAAGAGGGAAGGAAGGAAGGAAAGAAGGAAGG